ACAACATGCTGTGTCTCTCCAGCCCGACAAAGATGATTCTTCATTTGTTCCAATGTGCTATGTAATAATAGATATGTACATATTGTCATAAAAAGGTTTGAGAAACATAAACTGTTAATTTTCCCTTTTCAATGAGTAATATAATATTTAGCTTCTTTGTACTTTTCTAGAATTAATCAATGCATGTATAATTGAAAAGAATAAAATATTCTAGAATTACAGGACTGCTACTTATCAAATGCTGTCCTTAAAACTAATATACTTTCTCTGATCATTTTTTTCTAAGAAAAAAAGTACTTATTTAAATATAAAAATTGGGTTTCATATATAAAAAGGGTTTCATACCTGTGTTTTCTTACAATCACATTTTTAATTAATTTTTTATTTATATATGACAGTGGAATGCATTATAATTCTTATTACACATATACAGCACAACTTTTCATATCTCTGGTTGTGTACAAAGTATACTCACACCAATTCTTGTCTTTAAACATGTACTTTGGATAATAATGTTCATCACATTCCACCCTCATTTCTATCCCCATGTCCCCTCCTTTCTCTTCTCACCCCTCTGCCCTATCTAGAGTTCATCTATTCCTCCCATGCTCCTCCTCTATACCCTACTATGAATCAAGGAAAACATTTATTTGGCACTTGGTTTTCTGGGATTGGCTAATTCACTTAGCATCATTTTATCTAACTCCATTCATTTACTTGTAAATGCCATGATTTTATTCTCTTTTATTGCTGAGTAATATTTCATTGTGTATATATGCCACATTTTTTTATCCATTCATCTATTTAACAGCATGTAGATTGGTTCCACAGTTTAGCTATGGTGAATTATGCTGCTATAAACATTGATGTGGCTGTGTCCATGTAATATGCTGTTTTTAAGTCTTTTTGGTATAGACCAAGGAGAGGGATAGTTGGGTCAAATGGTGGTTCCATTCCCAATTTTCCAAGAAATCTCCATAATCCTTTCCATATTAGCTTCACCAATTTGCAATCCCACCAGCAATGTATGAGTGTACCTTTTCCCCAACATCTTTGCCAACACTTATTGTTTATTTTCTTCATAATAAATCTCATTCAGACTGGAGTGAGATGAAATCTTAGTTTTGATTTGCATTCCTCTAATTGCTAGAGATGATGAACAGTTTTTAATATATTCCATTTATGGATTCTTGATTTTAATTATTGCACCAAAGGAGTGTTATTAAGGAAGGTGGGTACAAATCCCACAGCATCACTATACTAGAGCTTAAACTATTACAGAGCAATAGTAACAAAAAACAGCATAGTATTTGCAAAACAACAAAACAAAAACAAACAAAAAAAAAAAACTGGTAGACTAATGGTACAGAATAGAGGACACAGAAACTAACCCACATTCTTGAACTCAGACTAATGATTTTCTCTTCCAGTACTTCTCCAAAATTGCAATTGTCTTATATTAGACAAAAGCATTTTTCTGTGTTCATATAATAAATCGGAATGTTATTTAAGAACATTTTTGGGTTAAATTAATATTTTATGAAATGATTACTTAATACTTTAGTTTTTTGGTGTCACATATAATGCATTTTTTAAAAATCTTCAAATATGACAAACAGATTTTATGATCATTATGTAAGGATTGAAAAATAGAGTGAAAGAAGAAGAGAATTGGATCCCTCTTCCATTATGTCTCTTAGATATGATATCCTTGACAGAAGGATTTTTTTGGACTTAAATTAATTTTCCTGTTTTCTTTTTTATGGAAGGGGAGAGTCAAGCTTAGGTCATCCCCAGGGATGACTCTTCTCCTGAACTATGTCCCAGGCCCCTCATTCATTCTTGAACGCACACTAATGATTTTCTCTTCCACTATGTCTCCAAAATTTGATAGTGATGAAAATTCCCTAAGCAACTTGCATCTTGCCTCCAGTTTTCAGAATATTTTCAAATTCTGCCTCACAAGGAATCCAGTAGCAAAATGTTATGAATCTCATGCAGATTCTTTATATTCAAGCAAGCTAAACACTATCATGACTCATTGGTATCCATGTAGAAAGAGAATTTTGACTTCTAAACCATTTGGAGAGTAACATGAAGATTAACCAGCATTCTAACAAGGTCTGTGCATTCCATTTGATATGTTAGAGAAGGGGGTAACAGCAGTTCATGCCAAGTTTTGGAATTTATTAATTTTCTGCAATTGCTGTGATAAGTTTCACAAAAGAGATAATTACATTTTTTAATATCAGAAGAGAACACATTTCTAAAAGAGTTGTTATAAATTAATAAGCAGCTGATTTGACCT